TTTCTTTAGTTTTGGAGAGTTTGCCCCCAGCTCGTTATAGGGAAACAATATCAACGTTGTTGTCATGGTTACAACAGTGTGAAGCCAAGCTGGCCATCCCATCAACAGCTGTTACAGAATATTCAATCATGGAGCAGCGACTAAAGGACAATCAGGTATAGTCTCACACACACAGCTCTAACGATGGCTTTTAACTACTGTTGAAGTGAGAAGCAGGCCAATGTTTTGTTTGACTGACTTTATAAATTGACCATAATTCACTGCTGCATTACATGGATGTTATCTATTTGACCTTTAATAGGACTTAGACATCAGCTCTATGTTGATGGCTAGAAAAGGAATTCTATTTACAGCATCTCTCTGAAGGCAGATGCGATGCCCTCACGTCCGGCTAAATGAGAAGATGGCAGAGGTTTGGAAATGATACACTATGGGGCGATCGTGGCTCAGGAGTTGGGAGTTCGCCTTGTAATCGGAAGGTTGCCGGTTCGAGCTCCGACAGTCTTGGTCGTTGTGTCCTTGGGCAAGACGCTTCACCCGTTGCCTGCTGGTGGTGGTCAGAGGGCCCGGTGGCGCCAGTGTCCGGCAGCCTCGCCTGTCAGTGCACCCCAGGGTGGCTGTGGCTACAATGTAGCTGCCATCACCAGCGTGTGAATGTGTGTGTGACTGGTTGTGTAAAGTGCTTTGGGGTCCTTAGGGACTAGAAAAGCGCTATACAAATACATTTACCATTTTTATTTGGTGGACTACAGTAAAATGTTAATCGTAGCTTTAAAGTCTCCCTTCAACTTTTCTTATTGATAAGCTGATCAAGATCAAAGATATCTGACCCATAAATACACTGAGAGATTATCTAACAGCACGTTTGGTTTGGGGCTACATAAATAACATTGAAGTGAACTGGATAGATGTTTGGACTTTAAATAAGCCGGCAATGAGACAGGAGGGAGAGTCAGAGTCAGTGTCTTGTATGTTGTCGATCTGCCAGTGGAGCCATAGTGATCATAAGCATACAGTAGATTA